CTTTGCAGAAGGATCTCCAGCTGAGGTGTTTAGATCGAAGCTGGACGCTGTCCCCATGAAGTGTTGGTGATGTATGGAAGAGTTGTGTAAATAAATGCCCCGCGCTGAGTTTGGACAAATCCTGTCTCTCTCTTGTTTTTGATAAGGAAAAAGAACCACAAAGACAGACTCCAAGTCTCTCGTGAGATATTCAGAGAATCTTTGTTTAGCTATCAGCAAACTCTCAAGGAAGCAAGGGTGAAGTTCTTTGCTGATATTGTGGAAAAAAATTCTCACGATCCACGCACTCTTTTTTCTGTTGTAGTTTTCGCTACTTGATTTATCTGATTCTAGCTCTTTGCCTCCCACCGTTGAAACTTGTAATGACTTTCTTCACTTTTTTGTTGATAAGGTTACAGCTATTCGAGCTGCCATTACAAACTCACCACCTGACTCTCTACTCCCAGAGCCACCCCAGGCCACACTGGAAACTTTTGAGACTGTATCCTTATCGGACTTGGAAAAACTGGTCGCTCAGCTTAAACCATCTGGCTCTCCTTGTGATGTGATGTCCCCTAGAATTTATAAAGAACTCTTTCCAGTGATAGGCCCTTTGCTTTTGGCAATCATAAATGGCAGTCTTACGTCTGGTATGGTTCCGTCTTCGTTTAAGAAGGCTGTTATTCATCCTATGTTAAAAAAGCCAGGGCTGGATGTGACAACCTTTGCTAATTACAGGCCCATCTCAAAACTCCCTTTTCTTTCAAAACTGCTGGAGAAGGTCGTGTATTCATAATTGGTTGACTTTATGGACAGAAATGATTCATGGGAGACCTTTCAGTCAGGGTTCAGGAAAGGTCACAGCTCTGAATCTGCTCTTTTAATGGTTTTTAATGACACGTTTTTAGCCTGTGACATGGACAACGATGTTGTCCTACTATTGCTGGACTTATCTGCAGCTTTCAATACAGTCGACCACGAAGTCCTTCTGGACAGACTACAGCGATGGGTGGGGATAACTGGGCAGGCCCTCCAATGGCTTCGCTCTTATCTTCAAGACAGGACATTTAGTGTTCAGATGGGTGAGGTGACGTCACCCAGCGTGAAACTTCAATGGGGTGTGCCACAGGGCTCTGTCCTTGGTCCTCTCCTATTTGCAGTGTATTGCTTCCCCTTGGAGTCCTCCTTCGCCAGCATAATATGAAATTTCATTTTTTTGCTGATGACTGCCAGATCTATCTCCCTTTTCGATGTGGGGAGGATAGATCTGTTTCTCCTTTACTGGATTGTTTGAAGGACATAAAATGTTGGATGGCTTCTAATTTTTTGCACCTAAATGAGAGCAAAACGGAAGTCATAATACTTAGTCCTGGCAGAAGAAATAGCTCTGGTGCTGATATTGACCTTGGCCCATTGACCCCCTATGAAAAAAAAAGGTCAGTAATTTGGGGATTAAAACCGACTCATCACTTAATCTTGACACTCATGTAAATACAGTGGTGAGGTCCTGTTTTTTTAACCTGAAAAGACTATCCAGGATCAGGCCTCTGCTGTCCAGAGCTCATGTGGAGTCTGTGTTGCATGCTTTAGTCCTGTCCCGGCCGGACTACTGCAACGCTCTGTATGCTGGTCTGGCCCAGTGCACGGTTGCACGGCTCCAGTTTGTGCAGAACTCTGTGGCTAGGTTCCTGACAGGTACGAGATGTCGAGAGCACATTACCCCAGTGCTGGATACTCTGCACTGGCTCCCGGTACAATATAGAGCTAAGTTTAAAATCTTAACTCTCGTTTATAAGGCCCTCCAGGGCAGTGCCCCCTCGTGCACTTTTGCAGAGGTATGCTCCGTCTCGGTCTCTTCGCTCAGCCGACTAGGAACTTCTGGTGGTTCCCCGGTCAAAATATCGATCGAGGGGTTGTCATGCTTTTTCTGTTCTGGCTCCAACTCTGTGGAACGAATTGCCACTGAGCATTAGTTAGGCACCATCCCTTCACGTTTTTAAGTCTTGTTTAAAGACTCATTTTTATTTGATTGCGTTTTAGCGTTAGGGTTCTTTGAATTGCCCTGACATTGTGGTTTTAATTCTTCTTCTTTTTAAACCAGATGCTTGATTTTATTTTGTCCACCATTTGTTTTTGATCGATTAGTCTTATTTCCGTTATCTCTCTTTATTTGTAATAGTGTTTGCTTGATATTTTATGATTTTATGTTTTTATCTTGCTTTTATGCCCATGTACTTGGAATGTTTTTCTTATGATGATGCTGTTCAGCACCGTGGGCTTCCGATAACGTTGTGGAAGGTGCTCTACAAATAAAATTTAATTGATTGATTGATACTATAGTATGATATCATTTATAAATTTTTAGGACACACACTATAGTATGATATTATTTATCATTTTTAAGACGCATACTATAGTATATTATTTATACATTTTTAGGTCCCATACTATAGTATGATATTATTTATACCTTTTTAGGACAGTTACTTATAGTATGATATTATTTATACATTTTTAGGACAGATACTTATAGTATGATATTATTTATACATTTTTAAGGACAGATACTTATAGTATGATAGTATTTATACATTTTCAGGACACATACTATAGTATGATATTACTCATACATTTTTAGGACAGATACTTATAGTATGATATTATTTATACATTTTTAAGGACAGATACTTATAGTATGATATTACTTATACATTTTCAGGACACATACTATAGTATGATATTATTTATACATTTTTAGGACAGTAACTTATAGTATGATATTATTTATACATTTTTAAGGACAGATACTTTTGGTATGATATTATTTATACATTTTTAAGGACAGACACTTATAGTATGATATTATTTATACATTTTCAGGACACATACTATAGTATAATATTATTTATACATTTTTAGGACAGATACTTATAGTATGATATTATTTATAAATTTTTAGGACAGATACTTATAGTATGATATTATGTATACATTTTTAGGACAGATATTATAGTATGACATTGTATATATATATTTAAGACACATACTGTGGAATGATTATTTTTATACATTTTTAGGACACATACTATAGTATGATATTATTTATACAATTTTAGGACACACACTATGGTATGATATTATGTATACAATTTTAGGAGACATACTATAGTATGATAATATTTATACATTTTAAGACACATAGTATAGTATAATTTTTTAAATGTATTTTAGGACACATACTATAGTATGATATTATTATTTATTTTTAGGACTCATACTAGAGTATGATATCATTTATAAATTTTTAGGACACACACTATAGTATGATATTATTTACACATTTTTAAGACGCATACTATAGTATTTTATTTATACCTTTTTAGGTCCCATACTATAGTATGATATTATTTATACATTTTTAAGACACATACTATAGTATGAATTTATTTACACATTTTCAGGACACATACTATAGTATGATATTATTTATACATTTTTAAGGACAGATACTTATAGTATGATATTATTTATACATTTTCAGGACACATACTATAGTATGATTTTATTTATACATTTTTAGGGCAGATACTTATAGTATGATATTATTTATACATTTTTAGGACAGATACTTATAGTATGATATTATTTATACATTTTTAGGACAGATACTTATAGTATGATATTATTTATACATTTTTAGGACAGATACTTTTAGTATGATATTATTTATACATTTTCAGGACACATAATATAGTATCATATTATTTATACATTTTTAGGACAGATACTTATAGTATGATATTATTTATACATTTTTAGGACAGTTACTTATACTATGATATTATTTATACATTTTCAGGACACATACTATAGTATGATATTATTTATACATTTTTAGGACAGTTACTTATACTATGATATTATTTATACATTTTTAGGACAGATACTTATAGTATGATATTATTTATAAATTTTTAGGACAGATACTTATAGTACGATATTATTTATACATTTTCAGGACACATACTCATCGTCGTCATCTTCCTCCTCTTATCCGGGTCCGGGTCGCGGGGGCAGCATCCCAACTAGGGAGCTCCAGACCGTCCTCTCCCCGGCCACCTCCACCAGCTCCTACGGCAGGACCCCAAGGCGTTCCCGGACCAGATAAGAGATGTAACCTCTCCAATGTGTCCTGGGTCGACCCGGGGACCTCATGCCGGCAGGACCTGCCCGAAACACCTCCCCAGGGAGGCATCCAGGAGGCATCCTGACCAGATGCCCAAACCACCTAAACTGACTCCTTTCAGTTCTACTCCGAGTCCCTCCCGAATGTCTGAGCTCGTCAGCCTATCTCTAAGGCTGAGCCCGGCCACCCTACGGAGGAAACTCATTTTGGCTGCTTGTATCCGCGATCTTGTTCTTTCGGTCATTACCCAAAGCTCATGACCATAGTTGAGGATTGGGACGTAGATCCACCGGTAAATCGAGAGCCTGACTTTCTGGCTCAGCTCCCTCTTCACCACGACAGATTGGCTCAGCGTCTGCATCACTGCAGACGCCAAACCAATCCCCCAGTCGATCTCCCGATCCCTCCTACCCTCACTCGTGAACAAGACCCTGAGATACTTAAACTCCTCCGACCCGGAGTTGGCAAGCCACACTTTTCCGGTCGAGAATACACTATAGCATGGGTCCTAAAAATGTACAAATAATATACTATAGTATGTGTCTTAAAAATCTATAAAATATATCATAAAAACAGTATAAGTCTTAAAAATCTATAAATATTTTCATACTATAGTATGTGTCCTAAAAAAGTATAAATAATATCATACTATAGTATGGGACCTAAAAATGTATAAATAATATACCATGGTATTTGTCTTAAAAATTTATAAATAATATCTGTAGTGTCAGTCAATACAGAGTGTTTAAGTAAACTCCCTGATGATGAAAACAGCCACTTCTGATTATAATATTTAGATCTAATTACAGTGTATAAAAATACAAACTGCAGATCACTACATTTTGGCGAGCCAGCCAGGAGTAACTCCGTGATGAAACATGAAAGACAACCATGCACTCCCACATACAATCAAATTTGTGTAACCTGAGATAGAAATCTGTGGAACCACCGAGTCTGATAACCGGGATCCAAGTGACATAGAAAGACCTCACCAACGTGGACCGTAGCACCACGGGGAACCGTTAATAACCTGCTGACTTGTGTTCTTCCTGAGGAGTGTGCGAGACTGTTCTTCAGCGTGGGGTTCGTACCTCACCACAGTTGGCTTGTTCCAGTGGGATTGCATCCCGTCGGTTGTCAAGATTCTTCATAACTTGGGTTTGTTCAACGACCAAGTGGTCTCTTGCAGGACCACATTGACCTTGAAAAGGGGGTGTGTAGCGTTATTACGATCCTATTGTCTGCCCTTAACAGCTGCCCCTTCACACAGTAACAACGTGTAGGAATCGCCAAGGTCGGATGCTGGTTTCAGTATGTTTACATTCCAGGAGAAGAGACAGAAGAAGAGAAGAAGAACGCTTTCCATTAATCAGTCAAAGTACTTTATTTGTGATAAAGCTAATCAAAGCATATGTTGATCAATAATAATCAGGTGAATGATCTGTGAAATAAAGATGTCATGAGTTATGTGTTTAATGAATAAACAGGACTGCACCAGACAGACTGATCTACATTAACATGGAAACGCATGACACATTGTTCTCAACCAATCAGAACTTTCGTCTGTCGTAGGGCAGAATCTGGGTTGTTTAATGAAGTTGTCCAATCCGGTTTGCTAAGATTTGTAAACAACTAGGGGATATAAAACAAGGCAATGCCATTTTATACTCAGTTCCATTTTAACCTCAGCTCTGTTCGATCTGAGTTCCAAAGGAGTTACATCATACTCTCAACGTAGTTTTCAACCAGCTCTCGATCCATCACCGCAAAAGAGAGGTGCAGCCTGGCCAGATGCACTTTCTATTTTAAGCTGAGAACTGTCAAGCTGGAGATTTCCGTCGTTTGAACAACAAGACGACGTCCCTTCAAAATAAGAGTAAACTCGCTGACGCCTGCCGCTGCTACAGGAGTCGACCCGCAGACGGGCTTTGTAGTGCTGTGACCGCTGTTTCACCAGCTCCAGTACACCTGAAGGTCCGAGGGCCTGGCAATTCCTGATCTACACGGGAGGCTCCACATGGTACGTAGTTACGGCAAAATTGCTGCTCATGTCATCAGCTTCTGAAGCCTCGTGGTAGCCTAGTCATAACAACCAGATTTGGTACGTCAGAATCTGTAAGAATTTGTAAGAATTTATAATTATAGAAATTAAAGATTCTTAAACGATCCCAACTCTCTCTTTTCTTGTATCTCAGTCAATACAGAGTGTTTGAGTAAACTCCCTGATGATAAAAACAATCACTTCTGATTATAATATTTAGATCTAATTACAGTGTATAAAAATACCAACTACAGATCACTACATATCATACTATACTACGTGTCCTAAAAATGTATAAATTATTTCCAGTGGCGGGCGGTGCATTCCACCCCTGGGCCTTCAGTGATTTCCTATTCAGTCCAATCTAAATTAACACACCTTAAAATACCATCAATAGGACATCACAGCTGGAGAAACCTCTCACACACACACACACACAAACACACACACACACACACACACACACACACACACACACACACCAGTGGCTGGGCAAGACATCATTTCCGGAGCCTTTAAAATCAAACTCGCATTCCCAATTGAGAGTAGGAAACTAAGACCACGGATACTGTCAAATCTCAAAAATGAAAGACGGGTTTTAGGGATGAGACAATAAAATAAATAAGTAAAGCAAACACATTATTTGTATTTGTTTTGGAGAAAATTGCACCGTAAAACAATTGAACATGTTGGCGCAGCTGCACACACCACGTTATACACAATATACACCCCTCCCTTCTGAGGAGATTGAAGTTTCTTGTCCAAGGACACATTGGCAAATAGATCCTAGTTTGAACCGACAACCCACCGGTTACCCCTGACCGCGGAGCCGCTGTTGCCCTTTGAATTGTTCTGATTGGGCTCATGGTTCTGATGTTTGTCCTTTGACTCAAAGGCTTCTGGGATAATCTAGGAACTAGAACCAGAGCCTAGTGGACACGATGGGCTTACACCTACGTAATGGAGGATGATGCTGACCATCTTCCACTCAGTCTGAAGGTCCAGAGGTGGAATTTAGGTCTGATCGTATTGGAACTGGTTTAAACTGGTACCAGTTAGATGTTTGTTAAGCTTTAGCGTTACATCAAATATGTTCTAATCCACCCACTAGATCATCTGAGACCTTCAAGACCAAATCCAGACTGACCCACTGACTAGTCAATGACTTGATGCAATTTGCTGGATTCCTTATATAGGAAACATTATTTCTGATTGACTTAATGAACTGACCTGAATTGGAATGTTTATTATGTGAAGTGCCTTGAGACGACTCTTGTCGTGATTTGGCGCTTTATAAATAAACTTGAATTGAATTGAACCCAGTTTTTAAGACTGACTTCTTTCCAGCAGATCCTCTGAGCCACACACACACACACACACACACACACACACACACACACACACACACACAAACCTCCAGCACCTCCTACCTGCTCCTGAGGAGGAATTGGCTCCACGTCTAGGTGAACCAGGGAGTTGTTGATCCTCAGGGCCAGACTGAGGGCCATCAGGCCACCCAACTTCACCTGGTTCTGACGGAGGTCCAATCTCTGGATGTGATGACTCTCTGCGAGGACCTCAGCCAATGCCACAACACCTTCATGGGAACAGGGTGGAGGCAATGGTAGCAGAGTTAGACCTGGATGATATTCATCAGCAGTGTGTGGTCACACCTTCACAGGTGATGTTGGTCTGTACAAGGCCGAGCTGCAGCACTGAGCTGTTCGCCATCAGAGGCTCCCTGATCACCTGGATCCCCTTGTCTCCCAGGAGGTTTTCCCCTAGATCCAGGAGCTGCAGCACCTTGAGACGTGGCTGCAGAAACAGGTCTGGTTAGTGAGAGTCCCGGTGAGAAGCTCCTCTGAGCAGAGGCGACTGTTCAGCTACCCGCCAAAAGAAAGATCCACATTCACAGCTGGAGCATGATGCTGGGGCTATGAGGGGCCTGTGTGATCTGCAGGAACCCCATCACCCTCTCAGGGATAGAAGGCTGACGGACCCGAAGAGCCCCCCTCCAGACTGCAGCTACGATGCCTGCATGGTGAGGAGCAGGGAGAGCCTCCTGGATGAGAATGCGTCAGACACTGGTGGGTGGGGCTGACTTAACAGCACACAGACAGATTCCCTCTAAACAGGGACAGAACCCGGCCGGGGTAACCATCATGATCCACATGACCAGATCCAGGTCTAATTATGGTTATTATGGTCTGGAAGTGGCAGGTTGCATCTGTTATTCCATCAACTGCTCCTCTGTTGGGAACACTGCATTCTGGGAAGGCCTTTACTTTCTACCCTCCTGACTACCACCGTCACCGCTCATATGACAGGAAGGTGCAGTTTATCCTGCCAATCAGACGCAAAGAAGGTTATTCTAGGAGTGTGCTGTGTGTGTGTGTGTGTGTGTGTGTGTGTGTGTGTGTGTGTGTGTGTGTGTGTGTGTGTGTGTGTGTGTGTGTGTGTGTGTGTGAGGGGGAGGGGGGGGTGTTGGTTGTGTGATGAGTTGGCATCGGGTTTCTATGAATGCTTTATTACAGAGTTTGCATGGGATTTAATTTATGACTACTCTAGTCCCGCTGATATCTTGTCTTTCGGGTGTACTGGTCTCTTTCTGACTACCATGAACGGTTTTGTTGGTGTGCTCATGTTGTGTTTTCTCATCGCTGTTTTTATTCTTTTTCTTCTACCTTCAATGTAAGGAAGGATTTTGGTTCGGGTTTCTGTCTTTTTATTGGTTATTTGGTTTGGTTCATCTTTTCTCTTTGTTGTTGCTTTTCATCCACCCATCCACTCGCTTCTGCTTATCTGGAGTCGGGTCACGGGTGCAGCAGCCTAAGGCGAGAGGCCAAGACTTCCCTCTCCGAGGCCACTTGGGCCAACTCCTCCGGATGCATCCCAAAGCGTTCCCTGGCCAGGCGAGAGACATGGCCCCTCCGACGTGTCCTGGGGTTTCCTTTAGGCCTCCTCCTGGTTGGACGTGCCCAGAAAACCTCACTAGGGAGGCGTCCAAGAGGCATCCTCACCAGATGCCAAAGCCACCTCAACTGGCTCCTCTTGACGTGGAGGAGCAGCAGGTTTACTCTGAGCCCCTCCCAGATGATTGAGCTTCCCACCCTATCTGTAAGCGAGAGCCCAGCCACCCTGTGGAGAAAACTCATTTTGGCTGCTTGTATCCGCGATCTCGTTCTTTTGGTCCCTACCCAAAGCTCATGACCATAGGTGAGGGTAGGAACGTAGATCGACTGGTAAATCAAGAGCTTTGCCTTCTGGCTCAGCTCTCTCTTCACCACGACAGACCGGTACAAAGTATCTATCTATCTGTCTGTCTGTCTGTCTGTCTGTCTGTCTGTAGATACGCCAAAAGGCCCGTTGTCCACTCGTTTAACACCCTGCTACAGCAGTTTCTACTCTGACTTCTGTTCTCCTGTGGTTCCTCTGATAAGTCTGTTCTGTGGTTGTGGTGTTCCTCACCAGGGTCTTGGCCAGGTGGTCCATCCCTCGCTCTGTGATCTGGTTGTTACGCAGTAGTAGGACCTTCAGACCTGAGGCCTGGTTTGACAGACCGTCACACAGCTCCTCCAGTCCTGAAAACCAAAAGTCTGTTAGAGTCATCCAGCTGGAGCTCAGATGTCCATCCATCCATCCATCCATCCATCCATCCATCCATCCACCCATCCATCTATCCATCCATCCATCCATCCATCTTCATCCACTTATCTGGAGTCGGGTCGCAGTGGCAGTAGCCTAAGGCGAGAGGCCAAGACTTCCCTCTCCCCAGCCACTTGTGCCAGTTCCTCCGGGGGAATCCCAAGGCGTTCCCTGGCCAGGTGAGAGACGTAGTCCCTCCACCGTGTCCTGGGTCTACCTTTAGATCTCCTTCCGGTTGGACGTGCCCGGAAAACCTCACCAGGGAGCCGTCCAGGAGGCATCCTGACCAGATGCCCGAGCCACCTCAACTGGCTCCTCTCGATATGGAGGAGCAGCAGGTCTACTCCGAGCCCCTCCCGGATGATCGAGCTTCTCACCCTATCTCTAAGGGAGAGCCCAGCTACTCTTCAGAGAAAACTCATTTTGGCCGCTTGTATCCGTGATCTCGTTCTTTTGGTCACTACCCAAAGCTCATGACCATAGGTGAGGGTAGGAACGTAGATCGACCAGTAAATCGAGAGCTTCGCCTTCTCACTCAGCTCTCTCTTCACCACGACAGACCGGTACAACGCCCACATCACTGCAGATGCAGCACCAATCCGCCTATCGATCTCACGCTCCAGCTTTCCCTTACTCGTGAACAAGACCCCAAGATACTTAAACTCCTCCACTTGGGGCAGGACCTCATCCCTGACCCGGAGAAGGCATTCTACCCTTTTCCGAATCAAGACCATTGTCTCAGATTTAGAGGAGCTGATTCTCATCCCAGCAGCTTCACACTCGGCTGCGAACCGCTCCGGTGAAAGCTGAAGATCACGTTCTGATGAAGCCTACAGGACCACATCATCTGCAAAAAGCAGAGACCTGATCCTCAGGCCACCAAAACGGATGCCCTCCACACCTTGGCTGCGCCTAGAAATCCTGTCCATAAAGGTTATGAACAGATTCGGTGACAAAAGGCAGCCTTGGCGGAGTCCAACTCTCACTGGGAACGAGCCAGACTTACTGCCGGCAATGCAGACTAAGCTCTGTTACCGGTCATACATGGACCTAACAGCCCGTATCAGGGCCTGGCACCCCATACTCCTGGAGTACCCCCCACAGGCCTCCCCGGGGGACGCGGTCAAACACCTCCAAATCCACAAAACACATGTAGACTGGTTGGGCAAATTCCCACGCACCCTCCAGGATCCCCCTAAGGGTATAGAGCTGGTCCAGTGTTCCACGGTCAGGACGAAAACCACATTGCTCATCCTGAATCTGAGGTTCAACAATCCGATGGACCCTCCTCTCCAGAACCCCTGAATAGACCTTACCAGGAAGGCTCAGAAGTGTGATCCCCCTGTAGTTGGAACACATCCTGCGGTCCCCCTTTTTAAATAAGGGGACCACCACCCCGATCTGCCAGTCCAGTGGGACTGCCCCCGATGTCCATGCGATATTGCAGAGCCGCGTCAGCCAACACAGCCCCACAACATCCAGAGCCTTAAGGAACTCCGGGCAGATCTCATCCACCCCTGGAGCCTTGCCACAGAGGAGCTTTTTAACCACCTCAGTGACCTCAGCACCAGAGATTTGAGAGCCCAACCCAAAGTCCCCAGACTCTGCTTCCTCACTGGAAGACGTGTCGGTGGGATTGAGGAGATCTTCGAAGTATTCTGCCCACCGATCCACAACGTCCTGAGTAGAGGTCAGCAGCACACTGCCCCCACTATAAATAGTGTTGGTAGCGCACTGCTCCCCCCCGAGGCGCCGGATGGCGGACCAGAATCTCCTCAAAGCCGTACGGAAGTCTTGCTCCATGGTCTCACCGAACTCCTCCCATGGCCGTGTTTTTGCCTTGGTGACCACCCGAGCCGCGTTCTGCTTGGACTGCCGGTACCTATCAGCTGCCTCTGGAGTCCCACAGGCCAAAAAGACCTGATAAGACTCTTTCTTCAGCTTGACAGCATCCCTAACTGCCAGTGTCCCCCAGCGGGTTTGGGGGTTGCCACCACGACAGGCACAGACGATCCTGCGACCTCACCTCCGGTCAGCCGCCTCAACAATGGAGGCACGGAACAGGGTCCATTCAGACTCAATGTCCCCCGCCTCCCCTGGAACATTTTGGAAGTTCTGTCGGAGGTGGGAATTGAAGCTCCTTCTGACAGGAGACTCTGCCAGACGTTCCCAGCAGACCCTCACGATACGTTTGGGCCTGCCTGGTCTGACCGGCATCGTCCCCCACCACCTGAGCCAACTCACCACCAGGTAGTGGTCAGTTGACAGCTCCACCCCTCTCAGATGTTTCTACATTAAACCTGCTGAGTTCCTTGTTGGTCCAGAGACCAACATCTCACCAGCATCTGCTAAAGCGTTGCTGCTCAACTGCAGAGTCTGCAATGTGGCGCTGAACCGCAGCAGGTCCCTCAGCTGAAGAGCATCCTGGAAGCTGTTCAGATGATTGTTGCTTAAATGAAGCTCCTGTAAGGTTCTGTTTGTCTTCAGGGCGCCAACTGCAAACAGCAGACAAGAACCCAGGGGGTGCCATGGGGTATAAGGGTGAATAAGATATGCCTGGTTATGAGGAGCTGCATCATTTAGAAAGAACATCAGGACAGAAAAATATCTCCAGACTGAGAAGGTTGGTGTCCAAACATGAACCTGAAATGGTTCTCCATGCCTTTATCTCCTCCCGTCTAGATTACTGTAACACACTCTTCACATGTTCTAACAAAAAGCCCTTGACCGCCTTCAGTTGGCCCAGAACTCTGCAAACTGGCTCCTAACTGGAGCAAACAGAAGAGCACACATCACTCCTGTTCTGGTGTCTCTGCACTGGTTACCCGTTAACTTTAGAGTTCATTTAGAGTCCTGACTAGAACTTTCAGGGCTCTACATGGCCAAGCTCCTCCCTGTATTACTGACCTGTTAAAGCCTTCTGCTCCAACCCGAGCCCTCAGGTCCACCCACCAGTACCTTCGAACCTACGAACAGATCTGTGCGTATTTAGATCGTAGGAACAATTTAATACACATGGGGTGTGTCTGAATCTAGAGGTAGGATGCCTGTAAGCATTTTGAGGTTGATGACGTCACAGCGCAGCGGCGAGTACTGTCCGAATTCCAAGAATACTCATTCTCACGTCCTCAAATGCGTCCTCACTCCACCCACATTTCGAGGATGGGTCTGGTGTTTCCTCACAGAACAAGGCTATCCCAGCATCCTTTGCGCACCGGCTGTGGATTTTCAACAGGAAGAGAAAATGGGGGGAGCTACGACGTTTTAAACGTAAGTTTGTTTAAAAACTAGCCGTAGAAAACTAAAAAGCTTAAAGCGGTTCTGCTTTTAGACATTTTTTGTTTGTATATTTGTTTTTTAAATTACATTTTAGGCAGAAATCAGCCAGAACGAGTTTGTATCGTGAGTCCTGTAGTTATTCCCGTGTGTGTGTGTGTGTGTGTGTGTGTGTGTGTGTGTGTGTGTGTGTGTGTGTGTGTGTGTGTGTGTGTGTGTGTGTGTGTGTGTGTGTGTGTGTGTGTGTGTGTGTGTTGAATCAAACTTATCGTTTGTTTCAGGGACAACAGAACAAAGCAGCGTTGTTATGAAGCTCAGAGGAGAAGAGTGAAGCTGTTTACACACGACCACAGAAGTTCTGCTGTGAAAAGCAGTTTTACATTCAGGGATTTACACAGCTGACACGTTTTAAACAACAATTTAAAACAGTTTGTGTGAAGAATATAACGTTTCTCTTCTCATGTGGACACATGTAAAAATGTGTTTCTGTGGTCTGATTTTCTCTGTAGGACTGCAGGTGTCCTGGGTCAGGAGAGGCTTTACCTGGTGGTCCTCCTGGGAGAGAGGCCTTCTACTGTCATCATGTTGATGTTATTTAGCTGTTTGATATTTGAACACGTTTATTAAAACAAATACTAACTGATAACTCTTTCTGGTCATTGATTTCATCACCAGTTTTATTATTACAGATGTTTTTGAACATGTTACATGAACAGAAAATGAAAAGATGGTAAGGAGACAAGATTATTTATAATAGGTTACACTTATTTACAGATCAGAACCAGTATGGACCAGTTATGTACGGTTAAAGCAGGATTAACCTGAGTGACTCTTCCTGGATCATTTATTTAAACTGAGTGAGCAGGAAGTCTTTAACAGTGCAGCTGGATCTGCTGCAGGAGGATCCAGACGTGGATGGAGGGCTGGAGCAGACCCGTGGCTGGACGTTTCTGGCCAGAGGAACATCATACAAACGGTCTGCAGAGAGAGCTTTGGGACGCTTCCTCTCACTGTCGACTCCATCGTCCATCTACAGGGCCTGCTGGGCTGGCTCAGACGACGGCTGTTGCATCTCTAAGATGTATTCAGAAATATGAGGAGATGGTTTATGGATCCACTGGTATAACAGTTGTGGCTCTTCAGCAAATAAAACTACAGTGTTGTTTTCAATAGAGGATCCTACGTAAATGACTTGCCTGTTAACAGTAGTGGTAGTCTGCTGGTACCTCCTCCAGGACAGAGCACCACTGACCTCCTCCACACACATCTTCCTCAGGCTCATCCTCCAGACCCACAACTTCACCAGCACAGAGGCAGATATAGTTAAATAAAAACTACAGAGAATTACATTTTTAAGACAGATCTAATCATTATTAGGCTTAAGTTGAATAAATAAATGCACATTGGAAACACTTCAATGCTATTTTATTTAAAGCCTGTTTTTAAAGCATTTTACCCCCATTTGATGCAAAATAAGAAGTTCTAAGGTCCAGTTAACATTAGAAAACATCCGACTGCATTCAACATTTATAATGCATTTGGTTTCTACAGGTCCTTCTCAAGAAATCAGCATATTGTGATAAAGTTCATTATTGTCCCAATGAATTATAGACCAATATCTAACCTTCCATTTTTATCCAAAGTCCTGGAGAAAATAGTGGCCATCCAAGTATTTCAGCATTTAAACACTAATGCTCTGTTTGAGGAATTTCAGTCTGGTTTTAGAGAGTATCACAGCACTGAAACTGCATTAGTGAGAGTTACAAATGATATTCTCATGGCCTCAGATAAGAATCTTGTGTCTGTTCTAGTCTTGTTAGATCTCAATGCTGCCTTTGACACAGTTGATCACAATGTTCTTTTAGAAAGACTTGAACATGTTGTAGGGATCAAAGGAACAGCGTTAGGCTGGTTTAAATCCTACCTGTCTGACAGATTTCATTTTGTAAATGTACATGACAAATCGTCTTCATACTCCAGGGTTACTTGCGGAGTACCACAGGGTTCAGTGCTTGGACCAATTCTTTTTACTATATATATGCTCCCAATTGGTAAAATCATTAGACAGCATGGGATAAACTTCCACTGTTATGCTGACGATACTCAGCTATATTTATCCATTAACCCTGGTGAACCTTATCGGTTGGGTAGATTACAGGCTTGTCTTGAGGACATAAAAAATTGGATGACTCTAAACTTTTTGCTTTTAAATCAAGACAAGACGGAAGTTCTCATCTTTGGACCAGAAATCCAGAAAAGGAAATTGCTTAGCCAATTGCCTGACCTTAATGGTATTACAATAATCTCCGAGAACAAAGTAAGGAACTTGGTGTTATCTTTGACCAGGACATGTCATTCAAATCCCAGGTTAATCAGGTTTGTAGGATTTCCTTTTTCCACCTTCGGAATATTGCTAAGATTAGAAGCATCCTTTCCAGGAGTGATGCTGAAAAACTAGTTCATGCATTTATTACATCAAGACTGGATTACTGTTTTTCATTGCTCTCAGGAAGTCCACAGAATGTAGTTAAAAGTCTTCAGCTTGTCCAAAATGCTGCAGCTAGAGTTCTGATGAGAATTAAAAAGAGAGATCATATCTCTCCTGTCTTAGCTTCCCTACATTGGCTACCTGTTAAATTCAGAATAGATTTTAAGATCCTTCTTCTCACATATAAAGCTCTTAATAATCAAGGTCCATCATACATTAGGAATCTGATTGTTCCATACGTTCCTAACCGAGCACTTCGCTCTCAGACTGCAGGTTTACTGGTGGTTCCAAGAATATCTAAAATTAGGATGGAAGGAAGATCTTTTAGTTATCAGGCTCCTCTCCTGTGGAACCAGCTCCCAGCCTTAGTCCGTGAGGCAAACACTTTGTCTACTTTTAAGAATAGGCTTAAAACATTTTTATTTGATAGGGCCTATGGTTAAAATCTGATGTTAGCCTAAATCTGGACAAGTAGGGGAGTACAGGGAGGTGGAGTGTACAGTCGGTAAAGACGGCTCTCCCTTGCCCTGCCTCCAACATGCCTACATCTAAAAAGGCTTGGTAATCCAGAGTTATCTCTGTAGTTTTGCTGCTATAGGCTTAGACTGCTGGAGGATACACTGACCACTTCTCACACTCTACTGCTTTCTTCTACAGTCTGCTCTTTAACTGTACTATTTTGTGCTATTTCAGCTGTTAACTTTCTTTTCTCTCTAAGTGTTTTTCTCCCCAGAAGAAGCTACAATGATGTTCTGCTGAGCTGTGGTGGCCTCATGGAGGGGGCCATCGACTAGCACACTGCTGCTAACCACTTAAACATTCTCCCTCTCCTGATAATAACTTTTTGGTTTCCTTGACTTTTGATGTGCTACTACTAGTTTACCCGTTTAATTATAGATCCACTAGGATAAATACAATAAAGTTTATCTTTCACCAAATAGAATATTTACTAAGACATCACAATATAACTGTAGACACATTACTTGTCTGTGTGTGTGTGTGTGTGTGTGTGTGTGTGTGTGTGTGTGTGTGTGTGTGTGTGTGTGTGTGTGTGTGTGTGTGTCCGTGTGTGTCCGTGTGTGTGTGTGTGTGTGTGTGTGTTTCCGTGTGTGTCCGTGTGTGTGTGTGTGTGTGTGTGTGTGTGTGTGTGTGTGTGTGTGTGTGTGTGTGTGTGTGTGTGTCTGCCTGCCTGCTCTGTCTTCTCCATCCCCAGTGAGTCGTGGAGGATGGCTGCTTATACTGAGCCAGGATTCTCTGGAGGTTTCTTCCTGTTAAAAGGGAGTTTTCCTCTCCACTGTCGCTTTATGCTTGCTTGGTATGAGGATTTCTGTATAGTCACTGACACTAGTCAGTGACTTGATGCAATTTGCTGGGTTCCTTATATAGGAAACATCATTTCTGATTGGCTTAATGAACTGACCTGTGTTGGAATGTTAATTATGTGAAGTGCCTCGAGACGACTCTTGTCGTGATTTGGCGCTTTATAAATAAACTTGAGTTGAATTGAATTGTCTGTAATGTACTGATAAACGTTAGACTTTCATATATATTAGATTCATTACACACAACTGAAGTAGTCCAAGCCTTTTATTGTTTCTAATATTGATGATTTTGGCATACAGCTCATGAAAACCCAAAATTCCTATCTCAATAACTTAGCATATTTCATCCAACCAATAAAAGAAAAGTGTTTTTAATACAAAAAAAGTCAACCTTCAAATAATTATGTTC